TATGCAGCAGTGCTTTTCCACTCCATCAAACACATTGAAAAGAGCTTTGAGGTTAACATGAGGAGGGGAAGACAAGAGACCTCAAAATTGCAAACTGGTTTAGCCAGTACATCTGGTTACCAGCGGCTGCAGCAAAGAAAACATTGTTTTTCTAAACTATCTTTGTGTCGTGAGAATGCAGTTTAGAGTTATTTGCCAAGAGTTTCAAACCTAGTTCCATTGTTAGATATTTATAGCCTGACTAACTTACTGGTCTGGCATCACAGAGCATGCTTTATGAAGTTACACAATGCAAGTGTATCTTCTTTCTGTTTCATTTAAATATGAAGATGTGTGTGTGTGACTCTTGGTAATTAAAACTCAATTTTCTCCTTTCCAGGTATGAACCCAACACTAAGTAACTTTTCAACCTTCATAAAATATTTTCATAACTTTTGTGATTATACATGGGCTTACAACTAGTTGAATGACACCTATCATGGCCTGAGGAGGTCTGTGCCGCTTTCATCGACACTAAGCAACTTTGAGGAGGGTTGCATAACCAGGACACACAAAACAGCTACAAATGTGCAGACTGCTTTACGGCATACGTCACTTCCTCATTTCCCCATTCGTTATAAAGACAAAAGTTGATCCCTGACAGTCTGTATATTTGTGCAAATTGTGCAGGCTCGTTCTTGCTGGGATCTATACATGTATTTACTGTTAAACTATCGAACAGAACATTATATTTATGTATTTCAAGGCTCTAAACCTATCAGTACACCCGTCGCTGATGAGTCTAATCACGGGGGAGTGGGAATACTTTACAAAACCAAAGTTAAACATTTCTTATTTTCAACTTCATCATATAAAATTGTTTCTTCAGTTAGATTCATTACCTTATTTATAATTCACACAGCCACTAGAAACAGACATGCAGTTCAATCCAACTACAGGTGACCTGGAGATCAGGATTTTACCACTCTGTTGTTTTTTACCATGCTGCTCCTCATGGGAAATGTTGTCTTCCTTAAAGGAATAGTACACCCAAAACATGATTAGCCTTCATTTTCTACTCACCCCCATGCTGAACAACACTCTGGAGTACTTTTTT